CAGTACCGTGTCACATTTGATAGATTCCATGCTTCTGTGTTCTGGTACTTAGCACAATGCCTGGCCCATTGGGAGGATCAGTTAATATTTACTGACAAACACCCATAAAGGTTAACAATATTGATTCATTCTACCTAACTGAAGTTCCTTGAGTCATAGATTTTTAAATAGTTTTCAATGAACATATTAAATTAATAACTTGTTCACGTCAATATTTTCAATGATTCCTCTGCGCTCTGTCTTTCAAATAATATTTTATTTTACATTTTTGAAAAGTTAAATTTATTTTGAGAGAGAGCCTGGGGGGGGGCGCGCAGAGAGAGAGAGGGAGAGGGAAAATCCCAAGCAAGCTCCTGGGGGTCAGCGCAGGGCCCAAAGCAGGGCTTGATCCCATGAACTGAGAGATCATGGCCTGAGCCAAAGTCAGATGCTTAACTGACTGAGCCACCCAGGCTCCCCTCAACATTTACATTTAAGGATACTGCAATGGACATAGCAAGTTCTCTGGCTTATGGAAGGGAGAAATCTACTCCAGACTCCGGGCAAAATTTGTAACTAAGAAATAAAAATATGATGAAAGCCAACTTCCCTTCAGCGTTGTAGAAGTTAATAACAGGGGAGCCTGGGTGGCTCAGTCAGTTAAGCAGCTTGAACTCGGCTCAGGTCATGATCTCAGGGTTCATGAGATCGAGCTTCCCGCGTCAGTTCTGTACTCATGGCATAGAGACTGTTTGGGATTCTCTCTCTGCCCCTCTTCTGCTTGTGTGTGTACTCTTCCTCTCTTAGAAAAGAAGTCAATAATGTACCTTGTTGTGTCTTATGCAACAGAATATTTCCCTACTGTGTTAAGAAAAAAAAAAAAAAAAAAAAAAAAAACAACAAACAAACCCAGAGCTGGACAGTAGTTTTTAAAGCAGTAAAAGCAAGTTTTATTCAGGAATTACCGCAATAGGGGGAAAAAGAGGCCTCAGTATAGAACTGGAACCCATCCCCAGTAGAGCACAAAGTGGGGGTTTATAGCCAAGGAGCAGGGTTGGGGTCAGTAGATGGAAAACTACTAAGGAAACCTCAGGGATGGCAGGATTCTAGTTAAACAGATCTAACAGGATTCTTGCTGTGGGCAGGCCAGGGTGGTCAGATGCCATACAAAGGAAAACCCAGTCACTTCCGCTTACATTTATTAAAGGATGTGATAAAGGATACATGATCAGTTAGATGAAGAGATACATGGAGTGAGGTCTGGGAGGGTCCCGAGCACAGGAACTTCTGTCCCCATGGAGTTGGGGTACCTCACGCTCCCAGTGTGGATGTGTTCACCCATATGGAAACTCTCTGAACCCCATACTGTTGGGATTTTTGTGGAGGCTTCCTCACGTAGGCATGACAGATCATTAACTCCACTTCCAGCCCCTTTCCCCTTTCTGGAGGATTGGGGAGGGGGTATGGAGCTGAAAATTCCAAGCTTCTAATCATGGCTTGGCCTTTTGCTAACAGTCAGAAAGACTCCCCTCCAGGAGTCATCCAGGAGCCCATCCAGAGTTGCCTCATTAGAACAAGACATTCCTACCACCTAGGATATTCCAAGGAATTTAGGAGCCCTGAATCAGGAACTGGGGTTAAAGACCAAATATTAGAAAACGAGATGCCCCTAGTGTCTTAACACTTAGGAAATTAGAAGGCTTTCACGAGCCTGTGCCAAGAACCAGGGACAGAGACCAATATATATTTTCTATTATTTCACAGACACCAAAGGTGGGGTGTCTGTGTGAAGAATGTTATGAGATATTGAGGGTGGGGAGTTCTCTTTAAACTGACTTGGCAAGGTTCTTGCTACAGCTGGGTGATGCAGGCCAGACAAGGGCAGGCTGCAAGGTCCAGACCTAGAGGAGAACGACTCAAGTTTAGTCAGGGAGAGTCTTTGTCATTGGCTATTGTGAAGCCAGTTAAATTGTGGTATCATTTTGAGACCGATCATCCAGAGTTTAAAGAAAAAGGAATTGAATTATTCTAAGTATAGATATCATGGCTTTCTTTAAACATCAAAAATTATTACAGATTCCCAAACTAGACATGAAAAGGCTACTGAAGCATCCTTCAGGTTTTAATTTCTAGTAAGGTATGTATCAATCACTATAAGACACGTAAACAAAAAAGCCTCTGGGGGCATCCCTCCCCCGCGCTTTTAAGAGTAAAGGGTTCCTGAGAACCAAGTGGGAAAACCACTGTGAATTATCCCCAGCCTTACAGGTGCATTTCTTGCACTGATCTCAAGAAGAGCCATCGAGAGAAAATCCTAAGCACCTCTCTGTATTAGCCCTTGGCCAGGCCTACATGTTTTGGTTTTTTTAGGCCAGGAAGCTGGTGTCTGGGGACCAGTTTTTTTCGGCCACAGTTTTGCTTTTTCCCTCTCTTTTCTCATTTTTTTCTTTTCTTTCCCATCTTTATTTAGTTTGTTAGTACTGTTAGGGGGCACTTTTAGTTAGCATTCCTAGCAGTGAGTCACTGAGCTGCGGGGCCTTGTGGCCATCTCGTGACCGGGAGAGCCACAGTAACCACCACCGGCTCCTCAGGACCGTCGGCCAGGGCAGCTTTGCCCAGGTGGGGTTGGTCTGGCACAGCCCGAGTGGGACAGAGGCGTCCATGAAGGTCATTAACAAGAGTCAGCAGGGCTCCTCCAGCCCCCAGAGACTATTCCTTGAAGTCCAGAGCATGAAGGCCCTGAATCACAACCCCCAAGTCATGAAACTACTTGAGGTCGCTGGCACCATGGAAGCAGGCGACCCGGTCACGGAGTCCACTAGCGAAGGACAGGTGTTTGAATGCGCCATGCCTGCATGAGAAAGGGGGAGCCCCGAGGCAGATTCTGCCAGATAGCGTCCACTGTGTAGTACCACCACCAGGAAGGTGTCATCCACAGGGACCTAAAGCCAGAGAGCCTGCTTTTGGAATCTGACCCGAACATCAAGGTCGCATACTCTGGATTCAGCAATGAGTTCACCGCCGGCCATAAGCTGACTCCCTTCTGTGGTAGTCCCCCTTACACCAAGAGTACAACAGTCTCGTAGGAGATGGGTGGAGCCTGGAGCCATCCTCTATACAATGACTGTCCAGTGACCAGCAGGTCCCTGCCTTGGCAGGACTTCAGGGAGCTGTGGGAGTGGGTGCTGAGCAGGATATGCCACTTTCCCCTTTCCACGTCTGTGGAGCGTGGGAGACCTACTAGAGAGATTCCTGCCCCTCAGTCCCAGTGAGAGAAGCACTTTAGAGGAAACCATGAAGGACCCATGGATGACCATGGCCCGTGAAGCAGAACTACTAAAGCCTTACAGTGAGCCACTCCCTGACTACAAGGATCCCTGGCAGAACTGAGGTGACATTATCTGTGGGCTATGAGTGGGACCAGATCCGGGACCTGCTGATGGGCCAGAATTAAGAGGAAGTGATGGCCAACTACCTGATCCTAGGCTGCAAGAGCCCCAAGGTGGAGGGTGGACCATTGCTGCAAAGCCTCTGCCTTCAGCTGATCCTGCCGATAGTTGCTGTCCTTCCCGCTCCCACAGGCTTCAGCCCAGGGTCTCTGCCAACCCGGAGGAGCCTGGTTTCGGTGGGCCTGCCCACCTCTGCTGTGTTCTGTAACTCAGAAAGTCAGCGGACTGGGGAGCACCGGGAGTCAGTGGAAGGCCAGCAGCCCATCCAAAGTGCCTGCCAGTCCCCCACCAAGACACAAGGACCATCCCTTTCCCCAGCACAGTCCCTAGTGTGACCCTGGGGCCTCCCCTCCACCCACAGCATCAGCAGCAGTGGTGATGCCCCACACGGAACCAGCTGTCCCCAGGGTTTGTCCTACAACTGGCAACTCCCTCCATGCTGGGTGGCCCGGTGATAGGACCCCAGCCTCTCCCTCTGGCAACCCCCAAGGCTGACTGGGCTGCTGGGAGCTTCTTCAACTTCTTACTCAGGCAGATACCGTGTTTCAGGCTACCTGGAAAGAACCGATGTGGCCCTTAAACCACAATGAAGCCAATGAAAGCTCACATGGTGGATAGCCAAAGAAGGGACAAAACCAAAGACTGTTTTTATATGGGCAGCAAGAAGATCCTGAGCTCCACAGAGCCCAGCAGCAGGTGTGGGAGGTGGGCCAGGGCTGACACCGACAGCCGTGGAGATGGGAGTGGTGCAAGGGGCTTACGGCTTGTATGTGGGGACACCGAGGACCACAGGCAGGGAAGGATGGCAGGTGCAGACTGCCAAGGTGGCCTGCATGGGATTCAAATCAAGGGAGTACCTGTGCTTCCACAGCATTCAAAAGCACTGAATCAAAAAATAATGGTGAGCTTAAAGGATGGCTGGGTGCCACCGGGGAGATGAGGAGAGGCTCGTCCTGGCTTCGGGCAGGTCCTCTGTCCCAACCTGGGTGAATCTTCAGAGACTGGACTGTCGTCCTGGGGTACTTCTTCCCTCCTACTCTTTTCTCTCGTCTTCTGTGTTTATCAGGGACGGGAGATGCTTCTGTAGAAATAAACACAATAAAAAAACCACATTTAATGGGAAGGGATTTAACATCTATTTTCTTTTTTTTAAGACGGGAAGTAGGACTTATTGGTGGGCATGAATAGAGGAGGGGCAGTGCCGAGGTTCTCATGAGCACAGAGCCCTCCATTTGTCCAAGGGACCATGATAAGGGATATATTTGACCCCACAGCCATCTGGGGTGAGCAGCTTTTCAGCCACCATGTCTTCAAATTTATCCGCGTTAAAGTCCCACTTCTTGGAAATGTGGATTTTCGGGCGGCCAGGGAACTTGAACTTGGCCCTACATAGGGCCTCAATCACATGCTCCTTATTCTGCAGGTTGGTGTGAATGGACATGATCACTTGGCCAATGTGGACCCTGGCCACTGTGCCCTGGGGCTTTCCAAATACACCCCACATACCTGTCTGGAGCCTAGACTGGAGCCTAGACTGTGGCATGAGGCCACACCTCAATGTCCACTGGAAAGGGCTGTCTCCAAGGTCCCTTAGGGCAACCTGTACAATCAACAGGCTGCATACACTACCAAGGAGGCTGCTGTTTGCAGCCATTGCACACTGGACTCCCATGGGGAAAGAGCACAGTCGGCTTAATTGGCTGCATTGACATCTATTTTCTGAGTTGCTTTTAAATTTTGTTTAATGTTTATTTTTGAGAGAGAGTGAACGAGAGAGCGAGCGAGCGAGGGAGGGGCAGAGAGCGAGGGAGACACAGAATCCAAAGCAGGCTCCAGGCTCTGAGCTGTCAGCACAGGGCCCGATGCAGCGTTCGAACCCATGAACCGTGAGATCATGACTTGAGCCGAAGTCAGATCCTTAACCGACTGAGCCACCCAGGCGCCCCTGAGTTGCTCTTAATGCTGGATTGTGGGAGGTGATTATTGACACGACTGGTTCTCATTCATGTTTGTCTCAGAAAACACTGGATTGTCACTTCCTTCAGCAGGTTTGATAATAGTAATATTAACACCAACAAATACCAGTAGCATTTACTAGTGGCCCCAGACCTTCTACACCATTTCAATGCCTTTTAGGTAAAAGTGCCCATTTACCAGACTAGGAAATGAATGTTGAATGGAGTTAAGCAGTTTGTACAATCGCAGAGCTGGTGTCCGGAGCACGTGCTTTGAATCCTGGGTCTACGGCCTCCCTTGGCTCAGGCCTGGGGCTTCTGCAGTCCTGCTTTTGACATCCTGTTGAGGTTGTTACACGGAGTCTCTTGATTAATGGACAATTCAGTAATACACAAGACGACACCAAACACTTGTGCGGTAATCTTCGGAGCTTCTTGTGAATTCACTTGTTTGCGGGCCCCTAAGTCCTCTGCATACGCAGGACACGGTCCTGAGTACAAATTCTACCTCAAAAATATGAAAGAAAAATGAAGTTGTCCAGAGTGCTGGCAACACTGAGGTTGTATGGAGCCCTGTTCAGCCCGAGGGACAGTGCCTTGTAGGCCGGTTAGCACACAGGTGGGCCCCCTGGTGTGGGAGCCTGATCCAGATCTAAACGCATCTACGGTGGTGCCCAGCAGGGTGGCCTTCCCGCTCTTCTCCCGCCTCCTGTCAAAATCTTACTAGCTAGAGAACAAATGTAGACTGATGTCTTGCGGATGAACTCCTGTATATTTAAAATTCACTTACTGGGGTGCCTGGGTGGCTCAGTCAGTTAAGCGTCTGACTTCGGCTCAGGTCATGATCTCGCGGTTCGTGAGTTCAAGCCCCGCGTCGGGCTCTGTACTGACAGCTCAGAACCTGGAGCCTGTTTCAGATTCTGTGTCTCCCTCTCTCTCTCTGACCCTGCCCCGTTCATGCTCTGTCTCTCTCTGTCTCAAAAATAAATAAACGTTAAAAAATTTTTTTTTTAATTTTAAAAAATAAAAAAATAAAATAAAATTCACTTACTGGACTCAAGAGCCCTTTTCCCTATCCCAGTGCTTTTTATTCATGTACAAATTAACTAGAACTCGCCTGAGTATACCCACTCGCTCCAGAGCTGCTGGGTCACATCTGCGCCCAGGCATCCGCCCCTAGAGGATCTATCCCCTATCCTCCCAGGCATGGGGAAGAGACATCTCATTTAGGGTGAGTGTTGAGTTTTTTCCAGAGGCACACCGCTCAGTGAGGTCACTGAAGAGTTCTGCAAGGGTCCTCGATTGAAAATTTGGTGGCAGTTCTTTGGCAGGTCCCCGGGGTTGAGGTGCAATCCTGTGGCCTCCGCCTTCTTGATGATCATAGTCCTGGCACATAACAGTGCTCCCCAAGTAGTGTTTCTCCTCTTTTGCCTGCAAGGGAGTTACGAAAAAAAGGAATTGCAGGGAAATTTCAGAAGAGACTGCTATGTATAGCCAAGGTGAGGGTCGGGAGTGTTTTGTGGGTGAGGCAGATTTGAAGCTGAGGCCTGACCAGAACTTTTGGGATCCTGAGTCCTCACGTGAGGGCCATCATTTTTTTCTACTGCAGCTGCACGTGCCGGTTTCCAGGCTGCCTGCTGTTGGGAGGGCAGTTTTGAGCTTGTATGTAACACAGATCCGTTAGTGGTGTGGCCTGGAGCCCTGGCTGGAAAGGATCCTGAGGTCAAGGTCAGGCCCAGTAGAACACAGTCCTACTTATTAGGCATCTGTAATAGATTTAGTTCCTAGTACTGCCTTCACTGTTGCTCCCTTTTGTAATAAGATGATGTTAAAGGACTCTGTGGCAGAGCTTAACATGACCTGGCTACAACAGAAGCTTCTGAGTCAGAGAGCTCTCTTATCACCCTGCATATATCTGGGTATGGTGTATTTACAAGCACACATATTTATAGGCACTGCAGTTGTGCTTGGGATTTGCACCTTGACCCAGGCATTAATTTATTTAAAAGAATATCTTAACATTTTCAAAGAATTGAGCATTTTAATTTTGTTTTTTAATGTGTATTTATTTGAGAACATGTGCATGAGTGGTGGAGGAGCAGAGAGAGAGGGGGGCGGAGAGAGAGAACCCCAAGCAGGCTCCATGCTGTCAGTGGGGAGTCCAATGCAGGGCTCAATCCCATGTACTGTGAGAACATGACCTGAGCCGACACCAAGGGTCAGATGCTCAACCAACTGAGCCACCCAGGAGCTTCAAGCTGAGCATCTTTAAATACCCTATTTCTGTTACTTCTAATTGTATTGCATTATGGGCCAGAAATATAATGTGTTCAGTATTTGTCCTTTTATATTTACTATATATTTTTTTGTTTTTAAAATATAATCAAAGGTATTTCCATTTCTTTGACGCTGGCTTGGTTTCTAAACATTCACTTTGTTGAGACATTCTTTTGGGCATATACATACAGATCAGTTATGTTTTCATTGTTTTGTATGCTTTTGTGTTTTTTTAAAACCATTTTGGGCCCTTCATTCTCTCTTAATACATTTCTTTCCAAGCCTCCCATGCTCAATAGATTCTATGATTTACTGTTTCTCAGTTAAGATTGCTTTCAGCTCTAGATACCAGAAAATCTGACACACAGTAGTATGAACAAGCAAGGAGAGGAGATGAGGTCAAAAAGGTAGGCAGGGGTCAGGTTATCTGGTTACCTAAGCTTTTATTTTATTGCAGTGAGAAGCCAGTGAGAGGGTTAAATGGGGATAGGAGGGAGTGGAGGGGGAGTGGGGTGTCTGT